GGACCCGCGGCTGGCGCGGCACGGCCCCCGGGCGGCCCCGGGAGGGGGCGAGGATGAGGACGGCGAGCGGCTGCTGCGGGACAAGGCGCTGCCCATCCCGCTGGAGGCGGCGGCGGGGCAGGCCCAGCGCGACCCGCGCTGCCGGCTGCAGCAGTTCTCGCACATCCGCAAGGACGTGCGGCTGCCGCTGCCGCCCTTCGCGCGCTGCGTGCTCTGGAGCCCCGAGGATCTCATCCCGCTGCCGCTGCCCAGGCAGGAGCCCCCTCCCGCCGCGGGACCCCCGCCCGCCCCCGCCGGCGACCCCCGGCTGCTGCGGCCGCCCTCGGACCCGCGGCAGCCGCGGGAGGCTGCTTCATCATCATCATCGTCAGCAGCATCATCATCATCATCCTCCTCGCTGCCCGACTTCGAGCTGCTCTCCAGGATCCTCAAGAGCGTCACGGCCACCTCGGGGGGGGACAAACCCAGCGACCCCCGCGTCAGGAAGGCTCCTCCCGCCGACCCCCGGCTGCAGAAACCGCTGGAAAGCGGCAATTCCCAGAAACCCCCGGAGGGCGGCAATTCCCAAAAACCCGCGGAGGGCGGCAATTCCCAAAAAAGCCCGGAGCGCTGCGGGGAGCAGGACGATGCCATCGCCCCCTACGACCCCCGGCTGAGCTGGGGCAGCTCGGCCCAGAGCAGCAGCAGCGTCCTGAGCGCCATCAGCCTCTACGACCCCCGGACTCCCAGCAAAGAGCCCCAAAACGAGGGGAATTCATCCCAAAAACCCCCCGGCGGCGGTGACGGCGCCCGGCCGGGCCGGCCCAAGGAGCCGCCGTTCGTGCGGCGCTCGGCGCTGGAGCAGCCGGAGCCGCCGGAGCCCACGGACAGGTACAACAGCTACAACCGGCCCCGGGGCAAAGCCGCGGCCCCGGGCGAGGCGGGCAGCGCCCAGCCCGCCCTGCACAACCTGCCCGTGCCCCCCGTGCCCCCCGTGTTCGGCCTGGCCAAGGCCGGCGCCCGCCCGGGCACCGGCAGCCCCTTCCCGGGGGGCAGCCCCGGCCGGGAGCCCCCCGAGGATGGGGGGGACAAGGGCTCGCTCAAGGACGTCTTCAAGGGCTTCGACCCCACGGCCTCGCCCTTCTGCCAGTGAGGGGGGGGCTGGAACGGGGGGGAAATGGGTGG